ATAATTAAGATCGAATGTAGTATATTATATGTTCGTGTGTCTTTTTTAATTTCTTATTAAGCAGTGTTCTTTAGAGCTACAAAGTGCTGCATTAGCATCTGATATACAAATGGGTAGAGGTGGAAGATTCCTTTCTTCAAAAGTAAAGGTCACCGTCTTTTTATAATATAAATCTAAAAAAATTTTTAAAAAACATTTCTAAAATTTTAAATTAGAAATAACCAAAAAAATGTATTATTATTTGTTTTTCATACGTTATCAATTATTATTAAAATGTAGTAAATAAGACTAATTTAGAATTTTTAAATTTAAGAGTATTTTTTTTAGAATTTCACTTAAGTTTAAGGAAAAATAGCAGTGAGGTCGGTTATAAAAATATTGTTTATACAACAGCAGTTTTTTCAAAAAATAAAAAAAGTTATTGATATGAAAAATGGACCTTATTTCAAGGGATCAAAATGTATTGCTAAATTAGAAAGCGGCGTTCCGAACTTCCTAAATTGTAAATTGAAAAATGTTATAGGAAAAAAAAACGTATAATAGTATTCGATTATTTAAAAATCAAATAAAAAAAAGTTAGAAGTGAAGCTTTCAAATTTGATAATAATTTTTAAATATTTACCAACTCATGTCAATTTTTTCAAAAAAAAATAGAATTGAAGAAAAAATTAAGAGACCGTCTAATGTAGCAGTCAGTTTTTCATAAACAATTCTTAAACCTAGTAAAACTTTTTTTAATTCTATAGAATATAAAATGGCTCATAATGCCTTGACTCTAAATTAAATTGTAATACGCCTAAATTTCTTTTGTTTGACTCCTAAATTGTGTTTAAAAATGTGGAATAAGTTGTTAAGCACAGAGAATTGATTGTTAAATTTGAAAATGTCACTTCTAAATTTTCCTAGTTTGACTATTAAATATTAAAAAAATAAAAATGCGCTTTTAATTCTCTAACTAGACATACTATTTTATCATTTAAATATGTTTTTTCAGTATTTTATTGTTAAATCATTATTTTTCGAGTTAATATTTTTTGTTAAATAATATTAAAATTAAGGAACTGACCATATATTTTATAAGTTTAAGAGATTTAATTAAAATCTTATACTCCTTTAATCCTATTTAATCCTATTTATAAGACACTTTTACTATATTTTATATAGACTAAGAAAAACCTTAAATTAAATTAACTCTCTATTAAAATATAATAAATTTTTAATTTTATACCTATTTAATATATATGTTTTTTAAAAGAATTATTTACACTATAATAAATGAAAGATATAGTATATCATACAAAAAATTTAATAAAATAATTTATAAATATGAAAAAAAATCTTCCCCTACTTTATAAATAGAATGAGAAGAATATAAAATTAGAGATCAAACATGTACTTTGACCAAAAAAATTTTGGCCTGTGAAGTACTTTGACCAAAATAAAGTATGGGTTTTAAAATGTCTTTTTCTCCTATGATTTTCTAACTCTTGAAGTTTAAATCTTAGGTTTTCGTGAATGCAAGTTCCAACGCCAACTAATAATGGCACGAGAGAACCAAAGGATAGGGGCAGTCCAAGTCTGTCTACGAAAATACGATAAACCAACGAGCTTGCTTCCAAGCGACTATGCGCGTCAATGATCTTGTGATAGAGAAATTGTGAATTAATCTCCCTGTTGATAATGTATGTTTTTTTTAATTAACCATAATATTTGGCTTGTTAAATTCATTTTAAATTGAATTTTTTTGTAATTTTATTTACATTAAATGATATTGTAAAAAAGAAAAAACAAACCCAAAGAACCACGTTTAAGTATTAAATACTCTCCAAACAACTTATTTTTTTAATCAAACCGTTTTTTTAAAAGTGATTTATATTATAGATCAGAACGAGTATACTATTATTATGACAATTTTTAATGTAATTTTATATTAGAAAAAGGAAAAAAGCACATCGATACTTTTTAGTTTTGTTTATAAGGTATTTTTGATATATTTAACAATTTAACTGCAATTGAGAAGACATTAATAAATTTAGTAGATGCTCAGTTTTATTCTTATTTAATATATATTTTAAAAAATAATAGTTAACAAAATAATTAATTATTGGCAAAATTTTATATTTACATAATAAATTTAATAATGTGATTTATATTAAAGATAAAAAACACTCTCTTTGCTCTATAAAGAAAACTAGAAAATATATTTTAAAACTTGTTGGTATGTTATTTTCACTCTGCTACTTTATGCTAAAACTTCTTAGTTAATAGGATTCTATGTTGAAACCTGTTCATGTTTTGTACAGATTTTGTATCCGCCATTGATTATTTCTAAAAAATATAATTTCATATGTGAAAATTCCAAACTTATGAACAATAATTTCATTTATTTATTTTGAATAGAAGTTTTTTTTGTGTTACCTGTAGGTTAAATGAATTTAATTTTCTTTAAATAATGTAAGCATGGGCAGATCTAAGAGGACATGGGGATGCTTGCTCCCCATGCCTTGATTCCTATCATCCTTTCATAAGATGGATAAATTTATTTGTAGAAAATGTAAAAGAAAACTATGTTTGATTGTGTTTTTTATTTTTATGTTTTCGGACTAATTTTATAAAATTATTTTTTAGTTTGAATGATTGTCATTAAAAAAGCTTATTTTATAGCAAAAAATTATTTAAAATAATTAATTTTAGATTAATTTTAAAAGGAAAAGAAAAACAATTGTTGGATTTACTTATTTTGTATAATTAATATTGACATTATATGTCCAAAGGACTCAAGTTTATGTGTATGGTGTTTCTTTTATTATGTAGCTTTTTAACTATTGCATAATAAAATAGCATATTTACCCAAAAAAAATTATAAATGTCAATATAAAATATGAACCTTGCAATAGGTCATATTATTCATAAACCATAGACTTTTTTTTTTTTTTTGAGGATTTGAATTATGTTGCTTATTGAAACCCCTACTGCAATTTATTCACGCTTAAAAAATTAAACCAATATCCTTAAATATTTACAACCTTAGAATTTAGTAATTATTTAACCTAATAATTACAGAAAAAATGTCATTACAAGTTAACCTGATTTCACATTAAAGATCAACATATAACCATAATTTTGGTGATGAAGAATTCCAGAAGGCTTTGAGAGAATCTTTCGGCCCATGGAGTACTAAGCATGAACAAATCAAGTACTCAACATTTATTATGTTTTACTTTCTTTCAGAAACCCTATTTAATTAAATTCTTCTGATAAAAATTAAAAAAATATTGCTTAGTTCCTATTTATAAGTTATTTGTATCCCAAGTTCACAAATCAGGAAGCACATTAAAACTATACTTGATATTTTTCTCATTTTTTACTTTATTTCTGTCTATAGATTTATTAAGTTAATACGGGTGAAATTAAGCAAGCTCATTAATTAATAATTATCTCCTAAATGACTTATATTTAGGAATAAATTTTTTTTAAAAATAAAATAGTATAAATAGTATGACATAAATTTCGAGAATGTTAACTCATAATGAGACAATTAATTTTTTTTTTTTGCCAGAATGAGACAATTAATATTGGCGTTTTGTTGATGTGTGTTAAACATGAGTGGATGAAGCCAATGCATTTGTTTGTGCAAGGAGATAAAGAAACAAGAAGGGTATGATGAATGAGATGGAGGAACTGAGGACAAAAGTATATTCTTTTGATGGGTCTGTAACTGAACAGTATCAATTGGTTTTACTAACACCTGATTATATTATTGTCTTGTCTCTAACAACTGAGAACCCAAGACAATGCATGCAGCCCCAATCATAATAAAACTTCACTCTCTTTTCTCACTCCTCTTGGTTTTGTTGTGAGAGAGAGGGTGAATTGTTTTGAAGGTAGGTTAGCTGGTTATATTGGCAGAATAGATTAGATTCGGAGGGATTGACCAAAAGCAACAAACTGGTTAATTACAGTGCTTAAAAGGCTCTGTTTTCCATGTGTAATAAAGGACAATGCAATAAGATAAGAGAGAAACAGTGCTGCTTAGAGTTGGCATTGTCAGTTGCTACCTCAAAGCCCCTCTGCTTATCGCTTCAAAATATTCACATTTAAACCTGCTCCTTCTTTCCCTTGATATTATTCTCCTTCTCATTTCACACACAAAATATTAATATCATTAATATTTAATAAAAAAAGTAGACAACTAATTTAAGATATTAAAAGATTAGTTAAATTTGATTATTTGTAATAGATACTTATTAATTTTTTTAAACTACTATATTTAATTATATATTACCTTCGGTCCTATTTATAAGATTTCGTTCTTATAGTGCATCAAAAGTTGGAACACAAAACCTTATAATCATTAAGAATATTTTAAGAAAAAATTATAAGTTCAGAAGGAAAAATGAAATAAGGTTCTAATTCTCCAACTAGCTAAGCTAAGGTAGTAAAATAAAAAGTTAGTTAAAATTAGTTAAAAACAATAAATATAAAAAATATATTTTATTTTTTGAAAATAAGGGAGAGTAAATGGGAGAAAGAATGAATAGGAAAAATGGATGTGAAATAACATGTAATTAACAAGGATAGTAATGAAAAAATGCTGGTTAAAATTTCAGATATCCATTTAAGTGAAATTAAGAAAAATGTTGAGGATTTAAAAACATAAAAATTAATATAATATGTCCTGCATTATTATTTTACGAAAGTTGAGGAGTAAAGGTTGGGAGGGAAATGGCGATGCATATTATACTATTCTACAACAGCAGTGGCGGTGGTTAATCATCAACAGCGCTCATTTTGATGTAGACTGTGTATAAATGCAGGGACTTTGCCGTTGCTCTCCTCTTCCCTTCGCTCTCTCTTTCAAACGTTACACTTTGCTTCATTTGGGAACCTCTGCGCTACTTTCTTCCTCCACTTTTCCTTTTGCTCTCCAGAAGGAAAACAAAAAAAAAAATTCCCACCTTTGAATTTCTCTCTTCCTTGTCTGAGACTGTGAATAGCAGAGCACAGGATTGTTAGCTAGAAACTGGAAGAGTTTGAACGAAGCCCAAAATAAATTCAATAAAGTTGTTGAGCGAAAAGGCGTTAATGGAGGCCAGAGTACCAAAAGTAGCACAGAATCAGAAGTGGGTATCTTTCTCTTCCCGCTTTTAGCTGGGTATTTCTTTCTCTCTCTCTCTTTTTCAGAGTTGGGTTCTGTAACTCTGACTAGGGTTTGAATGGGGTATTTATTAAGCTGTAATCAATGTTTATTTTTCATAATTGACTGCGTCTATACTCTTCAGACCTTTTTTTTCTAGCTCTCCTTTGAACGGTCTTTTTCTGCCTCTCTCTCTTGGGGTGGCTTCTTTATGAAATTCGGTACTTCAAGTTCAGTGGTTAGCTTTGGAAATGGTAGCTGCCAAAGTCGTATGAGCTTTTAGTAAATCTTTTTGGTACTTGGGGTCTCGCTCCGGCGCTTTTCCATTTCTTCAGCTCATTAAGTGCACTCGATCTCTCTCCAACCTGCTTCTTCCCTTGTAAATTGGCCTCATACTCATTAACTTTCCCCCCTTCTTTTGGATGGATTCAGACATCGACAAGTCGCCTCGTTCTTTCATTTTCAAAAGAACTGTGGTTTAGGGGCTTGTATCAGAATTCAGTTCAGTCTGGTTTGGATTAAAGGGATTTAATTTGTTAGTTCATTTCTGTTACTTCTCCTCTCTTAGATCACTTCTGAAGGTTCTTTCGTCAGATTTTCTCTTATTTTTTCTTAGTTGTTCTTAAGGAATCATAAAAAAGACAGTCCCAGTGGCTGCTTTGGTTACTTGCTCAGGAGAGTTGGATATGTCTGACAAAGAAAATTTTGAGCGAGATAGAAACGAGGATCATATGAGTTATTCATCTACTATGCCCTCGGATTGGAGATTTGGGGTTCCTAATCTTGCAAATACATCAGTGGGTTTGGTGGACTCATATGTTCCAAGCTTCTGGGATCATCCCATCAGTTCCCAAAACTTGGGGTCATGCGACGTCAATGTGCAGAACAATGTTAGCTCCTCAAGCTCAACTGGAAATAGAAAAGATGGCCTTGCCTTAGCTGGTAATGATAGAACACTTGAAATGGGTTGGAATCCAACAAGTTTTATTTTAAAAGGGGATGCTTTCGCACCAGACAGACCAACAATTTTCCCGCACAGTTTGTCTCAGATTCCCACTGATTCTGCTTTTATTGAGCGAGCTGCTAGATTCTCATGCTTCGGTCAGTTCAGTGGAGGGAATTTTGGTAGTATGGTGAACTCATTTGGGATTCCTCAATCCATGGGTCTGTATGCTGGACGGGATGCTCTCGCAGGCCATGGCTTGAAATCAGCTCATGGATCACGATCTCAAGAAAGTGCTCAGGATGTAGGTGAAGCTGCAAAAGATGTGTCTCCATCTATTCAGAATTTGGCCGCTAAAGGAAGTCCACTTAACAATGACAAGAGAAGTGAAATCCTAGTGACATCTCAGGATGAAGCAAAACAGACTCTTGGCAGGTCTACTAATGAGTCTGATAGAGCAGAATCCAGTGGTGATGATGATGCTGGTGGTCAAAATGATATGCCTATGTTGGAGGGTACAAGTGGGGAGCCTTCTAACAAAGGACTAAACGCAAAGAAAAGGAAAAGAAGTGGGCAGGTATAATTTTGAGCTGTATTCTATGGCATCTATCTTTCTTTTTCCCCTTATCTGTGTGATTATACATTCTTTGGTTAACTTTGGTAGGATTCTGATAATGAAAAAGCCAACGGAGGTTCTGAACCACCGAGTGAGGCTCCAATAGACAATTCTGAGAGCCGACAGAAGGGAGACCAGCAACCAACTTCAACAACCAACCCTTCTGTGAAGAATACCAAACAGGGGTCTCAAGCTTCTGACCCAACAAAGGAGGAATACATACATGTTAGGGCTCGCAGGGGTCAAGCAACGAATAGCCATAGCCTTGCAGAGAGAGTAAGATTTTTTAAATTGCTTGTGATGTGAAAAACAAAAGCATACTTTTGGGTGAAGAATTTCACATTAGATAGATATGAACTGTAGGTTAGGAGGGAAAAGATCAGCGAAAGGATGAAATTTCTTCAAGACCTTGTGCCTGGATGCAGCAAGGTGACTCCTATATATTGAAACTTTGGAAGCTCCTTAGTTATATCCTTTTGGGATTTTAGAGTACTTTCTTTAACATGGGAACTTGTTGCTGTCCCCAGGTGACTGGCAAGGCGGTTATGCTAGATGAAATCATTAACTATGTACAATCACTTCAACGACAGGTTGAGGTAGGTGTAAAAGCCATGCTATCCTCCCTTTTTTCCCGCTCAGTCTTTTGAATTATCTTGCAGATTTTTCCTGTATTTTTGATTCGGTTTGCGCATTGTATAATTATTGAACAATATATTGATTGCTGGTCATGTTGGCTTCATTTTGGAAGATTATAAATGTAAATAAGATAAACTCTAACAAATATGTCTTAAAGATATCTGTATCCCTTATGTACAATTCGTGCTCTGATTAGCTTACCTGTGAACCTATTGGAGTTGACCCAAAACTCCTTTTCTTTTGGCAGTTTTTGTCAATGAAACTTGCAACCGTAAATTCACGGCTGGATTTTAATCTTGAAGGACTTATTGCCAAAGATGTAAGATTTTAGAACATGTCCATCCCATGAGGTAAAAAATTATATTCGGTTAATTCTTTCCTAGCTGACTTGTGCAAGCCAAACTTTTCTGTCAGATGCTTTTGCAACGGCCAGGCCCCTCATCTGCGTTGAGGTTTTCTCCAGAAATGCCTTTGGTTTTTCCCCCTTTACATCCATCTCAACCAGGCCTTCTACAGTCAAATCTTCCTGGCATAGCGAACTCATCTGATGTACTACGAAGAACCATTCGTCCACAGTTGGCTCCAATGGTTGGAGGATTCAAGGATCCTAATCAGGTAATTGATCCATTCCTGAAAGTGTAACTTCATTTGCACCTTTCTTTGGTTCATTGTTTAGAACAATAAAACTCCATATTTGGTTGTTGCTGCGTACTAAAAATTAGTAGAAATGACAACTTATAAACTGAAATCCCTTGCAATAGACTACAGCTTGAGAGTGACAGAGCATCATCAATCAAACTAACCTTGAGAGTGACAGGGTATCATCAATCGAACTGACTTAAAATTTGTGTTACAACTTACAATGGCCTTATTCAAGCACAGCAATTTTCACAAGTTTCTGTGTAACTCTTATTTTCACTTGGTTGGTCTAACTCTGCTTTACATTCTTAATGTGCATATTTTGATTCAATTTTTAAAAGCTACCTGAGATGTGGGAGGATGAACTGCACAATGTTGTACAGATGAGCTACGCACCAACTGCTCCACTGAGTAGTCAAGACGAGGATGGTATATTTTCTACAACAATTTAAACCCTTGTGCGATATGTTATATGGGTATTGTAATTTCCCAGTACTTAGAGAATAATCTATAAGTCATTTGACTGTGAAATAAATGAAGAATTTTGAAATTCATGTGCTATTATGTAACATAGGAATATCGTGTTTTATCCTGTATCTCATTAAATAACCATTATTATAATAAAATAGGCCGGGTCCCATGCAACAAGATGAGCCACCTTGTTTATGGTTTGTAAATAAAATGGCACCCAGCAATACAATTTTTCAATTTTTATATTTCACATTGATTTTGGACTACTTGGGAAATTAAAAATTCCATGCACCTAATGACACTTCGTATGGAAGTTACATTTTCTTGAACTAAAGTAACTTGTTTATGACAGGTAATGCACAAGCAGGTGAGATGAAAGTTGAACGATGATGTTCAGTTTTACAATGCCCCTCTATTACAATGTGTAGTCAGATGGAACTTGACAGTTTTTCCTCTGACTTGCCAAAGATGGAAGGCAAAGCCAAGTTCAGGTTTAGAGGAAGTAGAGAAGTATTCATAGGTCGTCTTCTAATTTCTTGGAAGCATGAAAAGTACATATAGAGCATATATGTTTACAAGTGTTAGTGCCTCCATAGAAGCAGGTTTTGCTCACTAAATATATATGCATTTGGATTCAAGAATGTAAAGATGGAAAGTCAGTTAGATTGCAAGTAGTGCTAACTTCAAAAGCTTTGCCTTGTAAATGCCAAAACCTCGCGGAACTAGCATCTGGAAGTTTAAAAAGCGAATGTGAATGAGATATCTGGATCCCATAAAAGTGAGGTTTTAGCACTCCATTCTGTTTTTCTCTCTCAGGTTTAAAATTTCTAGTGAAACACATGTATCTTCAAAATCTGGCCATGGTTTTGATTTCACAGTGAAATCTGCTTTCAGTCTTGCACATAATAATGTTTAACTTGACCAAGTTTTTGCTTCATCATCTCATGTACCTTTAGGAGTTGGTAATGCTATGTCCAAACTAAATCTTTTCAACAGTATAATCAAATCTTTGCTTTTGACTATAATTTCTCACTTTTCAATGTAATATCTCAAGCCATATCACATTCTCATCGAGTCTCTGATCTATATTGTGAAACAGTGTAAGATTTACTGAATGCCAAGGTGCTTTTGAAAGTGGCATAGATTAAGATGAGCTAGAAATTTGTGTTTTTAAAAAATAAAATATCCAGTGCCTGAGCTAAGGCTTTAAAACCAGATCCAATTGGTTGATAAGAAAATCTGTCACTGTAGCGGACAATGTAATACGCAGCTTGAGGAAGATGAACCTGTAATTTGTTTTTGTTCCGATCCATTTATTGGGTCAATGTATTTAATTCTATTCACTGTGAATGTATTTATTAGGGTATTCCCATTGGCCTACCATATTTTAATATTTTATTTTATTTTCTTAATAAACTGCTATAACCATGTTGTTGGATCCAAAATATATAATACTTACAATCATGTGACCCAATCTTTTATACTTAAAAAAGATTTCATGACGGTAGGTTATATTTCCAACTGAAATTAATTTAGATTAGATGTGGGGTCGTGTATTATTTAATCTTATCAATAATATGATTTGTTATGATTTTTATATTTTATATTGGTGTTATAATAATGGTGAATGGTGATGCACTTACAGTTATGCTCTGCTTGGATTGAGTGAAAATGAGAGAGGAAAGAAAAGTGGAGTGGAAAATAGGAGAGGATTGAAGTTTTCCCCTGCTTGGATGAGAAAGAAAATAGGAGAGAAAGAAAAAGTGGAGGGAAAAATATAGTGGGCCCCATACCCCATTTTCCTCTCAAAATTTCTCTCCACATATGGAGAGATTTCCACTGCTTCGGTTCATTCCCCTCATTGCCCTCTCCCCCCAAGCTCGCATCAGTCCTCATCCTTTCCTGCGCCAAACGCTCATTGTCTGATCTCCCACCTCCTTCCTCGCTGCCGTCTCAGCCGCCCCCAACCTCCCATTCTCCACCACAACTCTGCAACATCTCCCGCTGCACCATTAATATATATATATATATATATATATCTTCAATACACGCAAGAAACCATATAAACACGAACGCATATAAACAAGGAAGGAGATATAATAGAGATTGCTGGGAGACAAACCTGATGAGAAGGAGAAGGGGTTGGTAGAAATCTTAGCCATATTATTATGGAGGAAGAAGTTCTGGGCAGTTTGGAAGTTGCAGAGAATGGAGTTTATAAATAAGGTCATCGCGAAGTATAGGTTTCCAGCTGCCATTCGTAGTTATATAGAATTAATCCCGTGTGACAATTTTGGATTATTTAGTTTCCTTGCCAATTAATTATAATTATAATAAGGACATTTTAGTCATTCTGATATTTATACATTTTCTTTCCTCTCTGTTTTCTCTCACTCATCCAAGCACGATGAGTGATAATATTTTCCTTTCAGTTTTCTCTTCTCCCCATTTTCTTTCCTCTCATTTTCTTTCCCCCTAACTTTTCTTCTCATCCAAGCAGGGGGTTAGTGTAGTTCATTAAGTCAAATATTCACATCATGTAAGATTAGTGTTACGATATTTAAAAAGAAAACAGGATGCGATCTTAATTTTTCTTACCAAGTCCTCATGAGTTGTATTATTTGTAATTAATAAATAATGTGTTTCCTACATAGCATTTTACATCATGTATTGATATAGATGATTAATGATATTGATAGTGACATATGGATCATCATTTACGAATTAAAAAAAAAGAAGAAGCCATTTTCAAAATTCTAAATTGAAATTAAAATTTCCAATTCAGATATTTTTAACTGAGAATCTTGATTTATTTTCCATGCGAATCACGTTTCTCTATTTCCTCCAGCCCATAGCTGGCGCTGAGTTTTCAGACCAAAATATATCAATATGAAGTAATAAACAATGGAAAAATTTAGTGAAAAATCATATTTAAGAAATTTATTAACCACTATGTTCGGTCTTAATTATAAGACTTTGACTATAATATACAAACGAAATCTTAAAATTAGAACTGGAGGTAGTACTACTTCTACTATTTAATATAACAGCTAGATAACTAATTTGTGAACATTAAAAAAATTAGTTGCGTTAATTATTTATAATAAAAAATATTGTCTTTTCCAAACTACTTTTAGTAATTATGTGCATTTGAATTAACCGTTGATAATAATTTCTCAACGCATATAATTACTATAGAAATTACTTAAAAATAAAATGGATAAATATTGAAAACAAAATGAACTAGATTTTATATTTATGATCAAATTAAATCTCAAATTAGTTTTATATTAAGAATAAAAAGCAGTAACATAGTAACTTATTTTTAATTATGTCCAAAAGTCCTTAAAATATAAATCATTTTCAGAGAATTAAAAATATATTGTCGAGTTGTACTTATTAACATAAAAAGAAATTTTTAATAGGACTTTTTCACCAAATTTCCGAGATTCATGAGGTGATTGTGCGTGATGTTTATGGTTTGTATTACAATAATTATGCCATTAATATCCTTGAAGACGAATGACAGTATCCGAAAGCCGTCATTTTTTTGGCTTATGCTTCTATTATTACTGGTAAGGATTAGTGAACTTCTTCCCCATCCTTCCTTATTAAATTAATTTGGAGAACGATATCTATTAAAATATTCTCATAAATATTGGGGACATGGAGAAGTCTGCCAAATTTCCATATTGAGACTGAGCGATCAGCTATCACATCAGATTTTTCTTTTTGGGATTTGTTTACAGCTATTTTCTTTTCGATTTTGGATAGGAACGCTAGCTTGGCATTGATAATCGTTTTGCAATTTGTACACGAATAGCTTTCTGGCTAGAAATAAATACTTCCGGGATAAAAGGAGAAGGAGAAGAAGCAGAAGGAAAAGGGAGAAGCTTTCATCACGATGGTTCATCAGAACACTCAGAACGATTCAAGAAGAAAGAAGGTGCTTGTTGATGAGCAATTTCCTCTGCTAGTGAATGAGAAAGATGTGGGTTCTCAGGGGGCATCTTTTAGTGGGTCAGTGTTCAATTTATCTACCACCATTATTGGAGCTGGAATTATGGCCTTACCTGCTGCCATGAAAGTTCTGGGATTGGGTTTGGGAATTATTGCCATAGTCTTTCTTGCGTTGCTTACGGAGACTTCCTTAGAGATTCTGATAAGGTTTAGCAGAGTAGGAAAGGCTGAGACCTATGGGGAAGTAATGCGTTTTGCCTTTGGAAGTGTTGGAAGATGGGCTTTTCAGTTATGCGTTCTGCTTAACAATTTTGGAATTCTCGTCGTCTACGTGATCATAATTGGTAATGCATTTAGATTTTTCGTTTATGAGTTCATTCCTTTGTTTCCCACTTTTCTGGAAATCATCGTTACTGTTGCAAACAAGGAGGATCCCATATCCGAAAAGAATATGGCTGATTCAGAGTATTGATAGCAACTACCATATATTATCTGATCATGAATCAAGTCTTGTTATCAGCAAAATTGAATTTCCTCCTTGTCTCAATAATCTAGAAAACTATGTTCAGATCTTTCGTGCGCTTTCACTTCTAAGAAGTTATTGGAGTATTATTTGATATGATTAAAAAGTCTCTAGTAGTTCCACCCTTGACAAAAAGGTTGAAGGACTAAACTAGTTTTGATTGGTCTGCTAATTGATGACAAGGTGATGTGCTATCTGGAACATCTTCAAGTGGAACTCATCATGCTGGTGTATTGGAAGGATGGTTTGGCGAATACTGGTGGACTGGGCGTACTTTTATTCTCCTTGTGGCAACCCTATTTGTATTTACTCCTTTGGCATTCTTCAAGCGGATAGGTAATTTCCTTTCTGTTAATTGCGAGCTACAACAGGGTGTTTTAAGTCAAACATGATTTATGGTTGTTGAATTATTATTGTGAATAACCGGTACCTTTTTGTGCGCTTGCAGATTCGTTGAGATATACTTCCGCTTTAGCGGTGGCACTGGCAATTGTATTTATAGTCATAACGGCGGGGATAACATTTATAAAATTGTTTAATGGTAGCATTACCAGACCCAGGTTGCTCCCTAATGTTACCGATTTTACATCTGCCTGGAAGCTCTTTACAGCAACCCCTGTTCTTGTGACAGCGTTTGTCTGTCATTACAATGGTATGTTTCCTGACTGCAAGTACTCTTATTGTTGTGAAAATTCTCAATTTGAAATTCCACAGTGGATGATAGATTTTGAGCTCCTGTGAGGTTAAGAGGAGGTATAAACCAAAATTTCTTAGTGCTATTTATTTTGGCACACATTTTGTTGCTGATGAGGTCCTAATAGAAAGGGTTTCATTGTTTTCTATGATAATTAATGTTTGGTCACTATCTTGTGCTACTTTCCCCTCATGTAATGACTTATTGAGATTCGAGATACATAATCAGCTTGCCAGTCATGAGCTGTAAAGCATCTTTATTTCAGTGTTTAATGGTTGGGAGTTCACAATATACTCAAATTTATAAATTTCTGGTGTGTTTTATATTGTTATTTTTTATTCTCTGTTTTGAATATGGCTTTTATGCTGGTGGTTCTCACATTATTATGCCTTTCGCTATGTAAAGCCAATTGAAGGGTTCAGATTAATGCTTCATTTTATTGCCATCGAACATCAATTTGCTACACGACTCTTTTCCTTTTTTTCCAATATCATGCGTGCTAGATTATTTAAGTACTTCATTGAAACAAAAAACTCTGAGCAATTATAAGTTCTGGAAGGATATGATTCATCAAAGTTATGTCTTTCGCAGTGCACACAATAGACAATGAGCTAGCAGACTCTTCCTCGATACATAAAGTTGTACGTGCTTCTCTGGTTCTATGTTCCAGTGTCTATATATTTACGGCCTTATTTGGGTTTCTTTTGTTTGGTGAATCAACCCTTGATGATGTGCTGGCCAACTTTGATACTGACCTTGGCATCCCTTACAGCAGCCTGCTCAATGACATCGTTCGCCTCAGCTATGCCCTCCACCTTATGCTTGTTTTCCCAGTCATCTTCTTCTCACTGCGCTTCAATTTTGATGATTTACTTTTCCCTTCAGCTAGGTCAATGGATTTAGATAATGTTAGGTTTGTGTTGATCACAACTGGACTCATCTCTTTTATATATGTGGCGGCAAATTTTATACCTAGCATTTGGGATGCTTTCCAATTCACTGGAGCAACTGCTACTGTTTGCCTAGGGTTCATTTTTCCTGCTGCAATTGCTCTAAGGTAAGACTTCCAAACTTCTCTGGTTTTTTTCCCGTCAAATTTTAGTTTTTCATCATACAAAGTGTTAAGCACAATGTAAAGGGATGAGGTTTGGTCTATTTATTTTCGATGTGCTCAAGTTTACTGTAGTTATCTTGCTATATTTAACGTGCTTCAGACTTCAATACTACATCAACTGCATGGCTATGTCCCTCACTTCTCTGTTTCTGCCATTTTTCAGGGATCCTAATGGTATTGCAACAACGAAAGATAAGGTTTTATCTGTTGTCATGATTGTGCTGGCTGTGTCCTCAAATGTGATGGCCATATACAGTAATGCCAATGCTATCTTTAGTAAACATGTTGATCCTCATGAATGATCATTTATGTTGGCTTGGTAAGAATGGACGGATAAGACCCTTTTCTTGGAACAAACATTTTCGTGGCCTCTAACTATCCAGTGAGAGTTTTGAGATCAAGAGTTTCCTCACTAATGGAATCAAATGACAAAGAACTTGTTCAAGAATTGGTTGTTGCATATTTCTCCTTGTATTGCAAGAATTAAATTAAATTAAATTAATTATAATAATTATATTTCATGGTTTTTTCGGCCGTGATTTGGGTGACTTCAACTGCATACCCTGTTTCTTTTGCTTTATGATGTTCATGCATAACTCTGAAAGGTGAACGTTCATTACGCTGTATCTCTCAGTTTCGCAGGAGGAATTGTGTTTATATTTACACATTGAAGTCAGCAAAGTGAAGCCTTCGGAAGGCGAAATACGAAATTGGAATTGAGAAAAGTTAAGGGACATAAGTGAAATTTCATGCCAAAAAGACAGATGACATGCTCATTTGATCCATGTACTCGTCATATTTTCCCAAATATGCTCCATCAATCCAACAAAATGAAAGGGAAAATAAGCAAGGAACACATTGAGTAAAATTGTTTCTATTGGTACTATTTACTCTACATATTAATTCAAATGATAAAATCAGTATCACAGCCATTTTACAGTTCCCCCGGTATAATGGGTACATTCTTCTAAACCACCCTTCCCCCAAGGCAAAAATGAAAACAAGAAAATATATTAGAAGACTCATGAAAGGCCAAAACAAAAAACAAAAAACAAAAAAAAACAAAAGAATCGTGACAACTCATTTTGGCCTCCTTTGCAAGAGGCAGTGTAGAAGCATCCGTCTCGAATATGTTTGCCTTATTGAATGAAATACCAAGGCTTCAATCCTTTTGCTTTGCATCTGATCCGAGCAATTCGCAGATCATTTTCTCAAGGTCTATTTGGAGTGCCGTCTGACGATCTCAAGTTGAATCGCCATTTTTCCAAGTATCCTTGATGAATAGTTAACATGTAGCACATGACTGGAGTCCTATACGAAGGACGTCTCTTCATGAAGAAAAACTGCTGTGACAATGTTTATGTACAGACGATCGCCTGGCAAGGGCAAGAAAGATTTTGGCTGCCCAAATTTTGCATTGCAATTTTCTTTCTTCTACATGCCTCTCCTCATGGCGATTGAAACCTGTCGTGCCCATAGAAGATACAATGCCAATCCCATCATTGGGACTAAACTCCCCAGGTAGAGGAAGAACTCGAACAGCAATTTGAATTTTCAATATCTAGTTGAAAAAGTAGGTTGATTCTAGAACCTCTCGTAGATCAAAGTCTCCTCGGGCAGGTAGAGGAGGAAACTTCAATGATGGAAAAGATTTCTCAAAACCCTCTAACAACTGCAAAAAGGGGAAAAAGGGAAACATCACGATTACAAGACATCTCCCAGCCAAAAAAGCAAGCATGATATTTAGGCAAGTAGAATATCCACACATAAAAACATTCAAAATAAGGGGAGTACTTCAATATATTTCCTGAAATAGAGCATACGATCGGATGATATAAAAGATGAACTTCATCGAATTCCAAAGCATTCGGCCGCTTTCACTTGATACGTATTTAGGGCTAAGATTCAGTATGTTACCCAGGATGCCAACAAAATATAGAAATAAATTATTGGATTTGACAATGTTTCAGAGGCCTTGCTCAGCAGTTGCCACAAGTTGCATGCACAATTTCATCAGACATAAACAAACAAACAAACAAACAAACAACAAGCCTTATCCCACTAGGTGGGGTCGGCTACATGAATCACACGACGCCATCGTGCTCTGTCAACAACCCAATCCTTAGATATATTGTTGATTAAAAGGTCTCGTTCAATGACCTCATTCAGCGTTCTTCTCGATCTTCCCCTGTCTCTTTTTATGGGACTCCATCTTGTTTGATCCACCCTCCTCACTGGGGCCTCCAAGGGCCTTCTCTGCACATGTCCAAACCATCTTAAGCGATTTTCAACTATTTTCTCTTGGATAGGTGCCACACCGACTCTTGTCCTGATCTTTTCATTTCGAATCCTATCTTTTCTTGTATGACCACACATCCATCTCAACATCCTCATTTCTGCTACTCTGACTTTGTGCTCTTGTTTTCCCTTTATTGCCCAACATTCACTACCATACATCATAGCTGGTCTTATAGCAGTCCGATAAAATTTTCCTTTAAGTTTCTCAGGTACCTTCTTATCACAAATAACTCCGGTAGCTTTCCTCCACTTTAACCAGCCAGCTTGTATTCTATGAGAAATGTCTCCATCAATTTCCCCATCCTGTTGTATAATGGATCCTAGGTATTTAAATTTTGATACTTGAGGAATAATTTGCTCTCCCATCCTCACCTCCAAATCCCTATTACCTTGCCTCCCTCCAAAATCACAATGTGCATATATTATGTTCTGTTCCTGCTCAAACGGAAACCTTTCGACTCCAAAGTCCTTCTCCATAACTCCAAACTAGTGTTAATCTCTTCTTTTGATTCCGCCATAAGAACTATATCATCCGCGAAGAGCATGGACTTAGGGATTCTTTCTTGAACAGGTTCAGTTAGAACATCCAAAACAATGTTGAACAAGTACGGGCTCAGAGAGGATCCCTGATGTAGGCCAATCTTAATAGGGAAGTCCTTCGTCTCTCCCCCAGGCGTCCTTACACTGGTAGTTGCCGCCTCATACATATCTTGTATGACTTTGATATACGTAACCCGTACACCTTTCTTTTCCAAAGCCTTCTACAATACTTCTCTTGGCACACGATCATAAGCCTTTTCCAAGTCAATAAAAACCATATGTAAATCTCTTCTTTTACTTCTATATCTCTCCATTAACCCCCTTAGTAAATAGATTGCTTCCGATGTGGATCTCTCTGGCATAAATCCAAATTGGTTTTCCGAAATAGAAGTCTCCAACCTCAACCTATATTCCATCACTTTTTCCTACAACTTCATTGTATGACTCATAAATTTTATCCCTCTGTAGCTTGCACAGTTTTGAATGTCTCCTTTATTCTTGTAAATAGGAACTAAAATGTTTTTCCTCCAATCATCCGACATAAAAGCACGTACAATTTTAAGCAAATAAATTAGCAAGGCAGTCCAACATTTGGACAGTGCACTGTTCCAACAAAAAGGAAATTACCAAGTTGCTTCAAGAATTTGTTTGGGTTTTTTTCATGAAGCACAGTGCCTAATTGTAGGGCATGAGGGAAGTGGTGGATAGGGATCAAGCTCTCGGGCATTTGCAAATGTAGGCCATGCTATATATGCACAAGGGCCTTTTTTTTATTTGCCAACTGATTAAAATTACAAACAGGATCAAACTCGTGCCCTCTCACTCGAGAGGGAGTTCATGCCGCTAAATCACAAGGCCATTAGTGCATAAGGGCCACTTCGATGTCCTCAAGTTGCAATAACAACAACAAAGCTTTATTTCACTAAGTAGGGTTGACTACATAAATTGCACGATACCATTGCTTTATCAATATCCTTGAGTTGCAAGATTTTGAAAAGTTCCAATCATACAAGGAAAACTACTCACACAAGCGAAGAAAAGGATGTTAATCTAAGAAGCATATGTAAGAAAGATACTCACTTTTTCTAGAACTGGAGCCTCATAAAGTTCAACAAACTTTTCCCTCAGTATTTTGTTCATCATATCGACGTCACAAGCATGTGTCCAATATGAATCATGTACTCCTGTAATCAAACAATGATATATAAAATTATAAGCCCCACTACGAAGATTATTAGATGTCACTACCAAAAACACACCACAAACATGCACATATACATTAATGCATCAATGCATGCAAGCTGTATGGATGAGTCAGTGATTAGCACGGACCTGCAAAGTTCAATCCTGCTTTCTTACAAGCAACCGCAGTCATCATCATGTGAGAACCATCAAGAGAGTGAACAAAATTTGGGGGGAAAGCAGTTCTCTGCCGCTTAACCATGATCTGTAATATAAAGGACAGAATGAGCTATTTTGCTTGATTTGAAACAATGCTTAAAATGTTCCCCCAAAAAAATCCGATGACCAATTGAAACCAAAAAGAAGACTGATGCAGTGGCTGGGAGAAATAGATGTCATGCTTCTTAATAATTAAAAGCAAAACAACAACGGATGAACCAGTAAAAGGTGAACACAAAGGAAATGGATAGGAAAACTTAGTTCTTAATAAAAACATGAATGATCTAATCGAGTGTGTCATGCATCTTACAACATACGGATCATATGTAAATATGGGTCATGCCGCGTACATACTGATTATTTTGCTTTATATGGGAGGGTGTACATGGCACCTCAAAAGAAAAACATAACTGTTACCTTGTCAGTCTCACGTTGTAGCGTTAATATCTGAAGACTGGTCTTAACCTGCATCATAGCCAATATAAAGAATTGATGACGCAGAAATTTATTGGTCACAACTTATTTCTTTAAATTTAGAAATAACATTAACAACAACCCTGATTTAATTTTTCTTTTAGAAAAAGAAAGACAAAAAATTAAGCTTTTATTCTTTAAAAACTTACATGTTGCCTTCCTACTTGTCTGTAAGGTTGTACTACAGGAAGCCCAAGAGGACTGGTCCACCGCACTGGTTGATTCTCTGAGGCTATCACCTATTCATATTCAATTCAAGTGACATTACAAGACAGTAATGACTCTGACGCAATAGAGGTCAACGCATTAGAACAAGAACATAGTAACAAAGTGAAGTAACCTATAAAAATCTTCAAGCAGAATCATAGAAATCTGATATGAGTTATAAGCACTTCCTCAACTCCAGTATGCGTTAGAATTAGCAGTGAGAAAATAGATTTTGAATAAAATTGATTTATGATTCTGATTTTTGGGATATGTGGTTAGAGTTGATTTGTAAGATTAATTTCTGCTATAAGTGAAAAGCCAAAGCCACGGTTTTCTTTAAAAATATCCAACCACCCCTTATACATGCCAACATCAATCATGCACCCAAAACCATTGTTACCTCATAAGCCACCAACCGACTCTATAAATGCCAAAAATAATCATGAATGAAAAAACCATGGCTATCTCATAAGTTACTGTTACTTGCTTTTAATTATACCTTCCTAAAAATTTATCAAAATGCCCTATTGTTAAATCAATTATGCTTATAAATCAATTTTATAAGCTTTGTTTTACCCGAAACTAATCCAAATGCACCTTTAATAAGTGGAGGCTGCTGATGAGAAACATCGTTGATGGTCTTATGATTGATTTCAGTTAAAATATGGGAAAATATATTGGAATCCTAAAATATATTTGCTATAACTTGCTCCTAAATATAGGTGGTCTTGAATTTTACCAAGTATTCACATCACAGGAAAGTGAGGAAACTTCCAGAAAAAGTTCTCTTCCTAATAAACTGCATTCCTTTTTCCAGAATTTACGGTTCACGTGAACCAGTTCAGAAACAGCATGGCATGAGGCATGAGAGGCTATTAGAACAACAATGCAGGCTGAGAAGGTGCACATCCCCAATAGAAAAAGACTCCTCAGGGGAAAAAGACCAGTAAGTTCCTTTTTCTTCAGCGCTACATTCAGAAGGAAGCACTGGTGGAACTTATTATGCCGCTACTATGACCTCTGGTTGATATATGAAAGGAGAAGTTATCATACAAAGAAAGATAACTAATATAAAGGCCACTGAAATTTTCTCCTGTTACTCAATCTTGGGCGAAGTTGCATATTTATAGGGCGCTTCCTAATGGAGCCCCATTTTGAGAATCTGAAGAGCACATTTGCCCGGCACACCTACTAGTACAAAACTACCACAACGCCACTACAATGACAGAGCACACTCCCAAGTCCATTTCTACCCTTACCCTGCATAAACAATCCACACATACCGGCTCACATGACAACATAAGCGCTCAAACCATAAAATGCCAATGGGTCCTAAAACCTATCAACCACTAGAAGTCTCTAATTTGTACAGGCACCAGAATTTGTATGACTAAGGAGAAAAGCTTCAAGGGTTATTGGCTTGCAGCTTCAAAATTAAACTAATCCTTTCCAACAGAAGGCAATTAAAAGATCATTTCAAGATAGTAAAATCAAACGAATTAATGATCAGACCAGGATTGCCACCAGGGCATTTAATAGATGAAACTAGCCCATGCTAGCCTAAACATTATCAACTATTTCAAAATATATAATTGAGCCATATGCTCACTTTTTCCTGCTATCTTACACAATAAATAATACCTTAGCACATTCTCCAAGCCAATTCATGATGCTTCTTGCAGCCTCAAACATCTCTTCTAAAGCCGTGAGAGTGGTCTGCAAAGCAGTTGATGATCAGCAAAACAAGAAAAGAAATGGCTAGACCGTAAAGAGCATGCATCTCCAGCCTACACTAAATTGACTTCTCTTACTTTTGCCGCATAACAAGCTGCACCAAACATCTCTGAATCGTCCTCTATGGCATTACGCTCTTTTAGCCTCCGCTTGATCTGGTCACGGGCACCAATATAAGTCACACCATAGACTGATGTCATCACCGTCTGCTTCACCAATTTCCGGTCCACCTAGTGATGTCAGGTATTAGGTAAACTATCAGTGATGTAAGATTGAGACTGGGACGTGTGCTTTTAAATCCATATGAAGCAACACTACTTTCATTTTATAAAATGATATCAGCAAATCATCAAGTCATCTATCAATGTTCTACAAGTTCCTACAGTTCTATTTTCAAGTATTTCTCAGAAAGCATAAAAGGACATTTGTGTCAAGAAGCTATGATCACAAGAAACCTGATTGATCAAACGTCTAGCAAGCAACGCATTTGGATAAGTTTCAGGATCTTTCTCTGAATCCCTTCTCATGATTTCAAGTACTCTGCACAACAAGCAAATTTAAATGAATTGAAACAGTAGCCAGACGACTTCAAAATATTAACTTATGGAAATCAATACCAACAGCACAATTCATCTTGGGGCTGACTTTTAAAAATGTTCTGTAAGTTGAGTCTCAGTATGGTTCCATAGGATTGTACAAATAAATAATGTAACAGCAGATGCAACTAACTCTTTTTGTGGAATGTCAAAGATTGGGTAAGAAAAGGAGAAAGGAAATCGTGTAGGAACTGTTCTAAAGCTTCTAAATATGACAACAATTGGCTTTGAAAGATGTCAATCAGAAAAGGCATCAGTTGGTTCCCATTATTGATTTTATGATTCAAACAATGTTTACAAGTTCTGTCCGCTCCTCATATCCTCAAAATAGTGTTGTCCATATTGACCTTCATTAAATTGAAGGACAAAATGGTGCCTACTTATTGTAATTTCTTCGTAAACATGTATGAAGGTTTCTCATTACCTTGCAGCAATTCCTGAATAAACATCAGCAGGCCGGTCTCCACAGACAAGATTGACTGCAGCAGCTCCCAACTTAAGGCCAAAAAAAAAAAGGCACATATTGATACTCAGGCACACAATCAAAAAGGGGAAGGAGGGAAAAAGAAAGGAAGAACACAATTTTATCACGCCAGAATTGCTGAAACAATCTATAATCATTCAAGAGTCTGGGTTTTACTTTTACATGAAAGTCATAAATAAAACACTGCAGTTAAATTTGGATTATTGCTATTTTGACAAAGTTAGTGCATTTATTCCGAACAGTCCCACTTTTTGTCCTCATACAACATACAAAATCAATTATCAAGACACACAATCCTCAATACAAAGAAAAACATGAGGTAGACGAAACAATATTTTGAGAAATTTGTGTAGGATGTGAAATCAAACTGTTTTGCGCATTGAAAAGTCAGAAAAAGTGAGCCAACATAGCCACAAATGATGAACCCATCACACACAAGACAGTCAACTTGTTCTTTATGAATTCAAATTGGATAAATTAGACAATTGCCTACTTGCTTCCTCCTGCCTGAGACCTTAGGTGGTCCCAAATATTCGAAAAACCCTCAAGTGGCAGCGAGTCAAACCAAGGGCCTAATGCAGCACTATTAATAGCTTCTCCAGATCAACGATTCAACTCTAAATAAGAGACTACTAATTAAAGCTTGGACCAGCTCCATAGGAAATAAACAAACTTAGTGATTAACATTCCACTTCCACATAAGCATTTGTCAACCATTTGTAACAATCATTAATAACACCCATCCCCCTCTCCCCCCCCCCCCCCAAAAAAAAAAAAAAAACACAAGAAGCCATTTTCTCCCCAGCCCAAATTACAAACATAAGAACAAAAAACCAAGCTAAAGCCTCCCAGATAACAGAAAAATCTAATGTTCACACTACCTTGTCCCTCCCAAGGGCTGCATAGTGTTGTAAGCCATTGCACGAACCATCCTAGTGTGATGACAAAACAAGCCATGTTATGAAGGGTGTATCAAAACCAAGAAAAATAAATACAGAAGCAAGGGTTATGTTTAGTGGTCTGTCAGCATCATCATTGCTAACATTATTTGCTCATGATGACCAAAAAACTATATAAGTAAATCAGAAAAACTCTGGAGATTGTCATTGTTAAAACAGGTCATAATGACAATTGTCCACTGAAAGATGACAGTTGCCCTCTTCTAATAGTATTAGGGCGTTTGGATTAGCTTTTTAGAAGTGATTTTATGGATGGATGGGAGGACTTTTCTCTCAATTTACACGAAAGCACTTTTTTAAGTGCTTTTGGTGTTTCCCAAACACCCCTTAGGAAGGAATGCAAATAAGACAGTCTCTGCGTGTGCGTAATGCCCATGTTTCCAGAAAGCATCTCTGATATCTCACAAAAAGGTACCTGGTGGACAGGCAGATGAGAAACAGTGGACTCGGGAGACTGACTTCTCAATGCTTCAGATAGATTAATACATGCTGCAAGGCACTGAAAAGGATCCTCTGCTTCTAACCACCATTGCCTTCCTTCAAGAGGCCTGTCCGCAGAATCAAATATATCATCCAGATGGTTCTCAACAAACATGATTCGACCCTCATAACTCAACTTGTCCACACCACCAGCATACAAATTTGCCAAATGTATTTTCAACCAATGCAGGCCTGACTTCCCTAGAGGGCGTCCCTCAGCAAATTCCAGAATTCCTCGGCATAAATCAGAACCAAGATGATTCAAATATGCGTGCATGGGATAAGCACGTCCTCGGAAATCAAGATTGTGAGGGTAGTAGAAGCCTTCTTCATCCTTCATCTTCCGTGCAACCTGCACCAGTAATGATGAAGATATACAAATTTTAGGGCAAAAATTTGGTTTAAATCAATTTATCCAACAGAATAAAAAGTTCTTCTTACCGCCAGCTTAAGTTCTATGTCACATCGCTGTGAATGCATATCGCTATTCTTCTTTTTGATATCTTTGACTTTCCACTTCCATTTTTGGACTTCTGATTGATCTTCTGTGTCTGGTTCCTCTGGGATGGGAACCTTGGTGAGGGAAAAAATAATAAAGGAAATGTCAGCTATAAAGCTCTGATGCTGAAGTAGCATAGCCTAAGGAGAATGGCACCAAAGCTGAGGTAATTTAAAATACATTAGCCACACAACGAAGATATGACATCCGTATATAGATGGCCAGTATTCAATGAATTAAATTACCTAAAAGCATTTTATATACTGCGGGAGATTTTTTGCCAACTGCACAAGTCATATGATAACATATAATTAACAGTATTACTTATTCATACTCATTAAAAATTTTTCCTCATTTTCCCTCATGTTTTAAAACGGTGTGATCAATTAATTGTTACTTACATCTTCTCGGCCCACCAAATCTGCAAGACCGCCGCCATTGGCCCATATCTGATCTACCACACTAAGAACCCCTTTGTTTACCCTCCATTTGGTATTGCCAAGGGTATTAAGAGCCTAGATACAACCAAAAGAAAATATGCCAGAATTAATTTAAATAGGGTGTGATGAGCACAAACTGAATTTCTTATCCACAAAGACCCAGGGGGAAATTCAAACCTCAAAAACAGGTTCTAGTTGCTTCAAGGGAGTCCTTTTAACTGCTTCACGTTGCTGCTTTGCTCCATGTGTTCTCATCACATATGATGGCAAAAACAAGTATGCTCCTTGGTCATACCTATCCAAAAGAATGAAAATTAGCAAGCAAGAATACAGTAGTTAGCTGGCTGTCCCAAGTTGAATCAATAGGATCCCATCAAGAAAGGAATCTTGTAAAATCAAAGAGACGGTCAAAGTTTGACTGTTTGAGATGTCAAATTAACCCTAACAATTCACATGCTCCTCAAAGAGTCGTTTACCGTAAACAAGATCATTCAAATAAGTTCATAGCAGAAATTTGCATAAGCTCTGGAATTGGAAAAACAATCAGAGAAAAAAACTCTGATCTTCCTCAGATTTAGCTTTAAAAACACAATCCGCTCTATATATTAAATGTTTTTTTTTGGGGGGGGGGGGGGATTGTATTCGTAGACCCAAGTGTATATTGAACATAGTACCCTGTCCAGTTACGAGGTGGCACCAACATTGGCATGTATGGGATGACCATGTGCCTGGCCTGTTAGTATAAGAACAGTCTGATGTTAGCACCCACCACATTAAAAATATGCATGTGCAAGCAAATATTGTATAAACACAACATCAAAAAGCAGCCTACTAACTAACTAAAAGGAAAGTAACCGTGAGTTCAAATAGAAATAGCATAAAAGGTTACTCACAGATTTCTCAAGGCCCTTCCGGACCAAGGGGTCACATTCAATAACACCATATCTCCTACTATTCCTACAAAAAGCATTCACCACAAACCATAAGGAAAATATATTAAATATAATGGTATTGATTGAATAAAAAATGATTTTACTAAGATGCTCATTTGGCCCAAAAAAAAAAAAACTAGGATGCTCGTTCTCACTGTGAATCATTAGTGAAATTTCTGAGAGCATGCGCAAATGCAGGGCGTATATCGGGTGGGCCGTCTCCTACTTGATCCACTGGGGGCTGTATGTAAGCTGAATCTATTAACAGTTGAATTAAGTGACTTCCAACCTGGAATATATGAAAACTGCATTAGAATGTGAAGTGAAGATCGGTCCAACGTTCATATGTACAAAGATTGGAACATCACAAACCTTTACTTGACCTTCCTGCCCCCAAGGCTTTGAAGCATCAAATGTCTTTACTAGTGCTGTTGCTTTTCGGATCTTCTGTTTTTTCATTAAATTTGCAACTTTCTTCCTTAATTTATCCTGCTCACTAGCCACTTTTTCACTATCTTCAATCACATTACATTCTCCTGGTGTTGCAGGATTAGATTGTCCATCAGGGCTGACAGTAGTAGTGCTCTTCTTCTTCTTACTCTTCTTTGTCTTGTCCAAAAATCTGTATATTCTAGCCTGATCCACATATAATACTAACACTTCAATGAATGAATACTTGACTAATAATTCAAGATGGTGACACCTAATTTGAACAGATAGCATGGGATTACTACATTAAATATTGCTCGATTTATATCTTTTGACTGACATGAGAGATAAAATAAATATGGCAATACTCAACATCCAAGAGTCAACTACACAAATTAGCAACAGAAAAATAATTTCACCATAATCATGGCATACAAAAGTTCGCCCAACTCTGTAAGAAAGAAATACATACTTTTTTCCTACTAAATATAATAAGGAAAACAAGCTAGGAAAATGGTTCCAGAATGAAAAAGTATACTTTTGAAACAGGATAAAAAGACACTTCTTCAAAAGTACCCTCAGTCAACAGTTACCAACTCCATTTGCAGGTCATAAAACTTCACCAAATGACAGAATAAATATCGAGTTTAGTATACCTCCTGTTCGACCGCTTCACCTATCTGAAGAGAGGCTTGGATTACTCGAGTGCTGCCTATACCACTACTATTTGTCATCAACAATCCCATCAATTTATGCATGGTAATGACTGCCATCATCTCCGCAGGCAATTGATTAAAATAAGGCGCATGAGTGTTCGCGCTGCTGTTTCTGCAAGCCTCTTGCTCCGCGGCAATTGCATTCCGCAGGGGTTCAAACCAACCAAGGAACAACGACTTCATATACGGCAAATTGGGTGCAAGCTTCTGCTCACACATGTCTGCCAATAATTCTTGATATTCTTCGGCGGCACGTTCCCATGCCTCTGTCTCCATCTTAACCTGCCTTCTACAAAGCATTTTATATCTGTGTCTCGCTGCACCCGCCATCTCATGCACTGGTTTCTGCGCCTGAGGTTGCGCCTTCGCTTGTTTTTTCATTTGCCCAAACAACTGCTGATTGTCATCGGACCCAGAAAAATCTTCTTCAGACTCTTCGGACTCAATAGCCTCAGCAACACTAGCAAAACCTCTAGCCGACCTCAAAGAAAAATAAGAACCCAAGGGGTCTTCAGAAAGCCGAAAATTGGGAATTCCCAGCTCATTTTTAGAAGTAAATACACCAACTTGATAAAACCCCACACCTGGCAATCTCGAGTTTGCCGGCGTTTGTGTTTCGGAGGGGCTTATCCTCCCTAGGAAACTCCAGCCTTCGGAAAACCTCATGTAACTTAAAGAAGGCACATAAGAGGATTCAGAGAATAGTTTAAACTTCCTCAAGGAAGTTCGCTTGGCTATGTTCGCCCACATCTCTCAATGGAGTCTACAATTAACAGAACAACTTGGAGAGAGAGACTTAAGTTATAGCTCAAAGATGCAAAGAAATGCAGAGTTGATCCACATCGAATTACTGAAATTTCTCCGAAGAGTGAACGGCCCCACAATCGGGGGGGAAAAAAGAGACGAGTGGTATTCAGATTGAGAGCCGATGGGAATGAAGAAATGGCGGCAATTGAAGGACCTTGAGCGGGCAAAGTAGAGAAGGCATAGCCGCCTCTAAACCCTTCATAAACCTGCGTCTTCACCTTCATGCTCCAGTAGGCGCTATTTCTCAGCACAAGCGCTCAACGGTACAAACCGGATCCGGGTCAGATCCGGACATGTCTTTTTCTTTTCCGTTGTTTTGTCTCTAAACTTAGCATTTTTTATTCTTATTTAATTAAAACGGACAAATTATGGTTTAGTCTATTATTTTCATTTTTCAATTTAAATTAAATTATCTTATTTCTTTTTCAAAGAAATTGTTTTTGATGTATGCATTAATTATTTATGGATGGCTTTGGAACTGTTTTGGGGCATATCTCTTACCAAAATACGCCTTTCCATTTAAATATAAGGGTTAGATAAAAATATGTGCTATTTTTTAAAATACTCATCATATGTCTTGTTTTTTAAAATATATTTACATGGAAAATTATTCACATTTATTAAATATGGTGTACAATTAATATGAGTACTTTTAAAAAAAAAACAGTTAGAGAAAATAATAAGATTGAAGTCTCATATTTAAAATTTAACAAACTCTTACATTTTACCACTATGAGAAATAAACTATAATTGTGCCAGTTGTATATTAGGAAAATGATCGAAAAAGACCTGAAAATTACAAGATCCAAAATTAGGAATTCTCATAAAAATGGATTGTTATTTACAAGTAAGTTGTTATCAAAACCCGTTAAAATATTGTAATAAATCCCTATTTGAGATTTTGTAATTTTTACAGTTTTTATCTACATTTTTCCTTTTATATATTAATTAAAAGCACTGTTTAATGTTTTAATTTTATAGAGAAAGTGTGTGTATATTATACTACTTCCGGTTCTTAATATAAAACCTGGTTTGATTTTTATTTTGGTCCTAAATATAAGACTTCAATCCACTTTGTCTCTTATATTTAAACATTTTTTCTAAGGTAATCCTTCTAATAATGGTAGTTTTAGCCAATACACTTAATTAGTAAAGATATTTTAGAAAAGATAATACTTATTTATTACAAATAACTAATTTAACTTATTTTTTTAATCTCCTCAAATTAGTTAACTAGCTTCTTTAATTAGGATCAGAGGTAGTATATATATGTGTATATTTCATATAAATTTCATCTAATCCTATATTCTTATACTTTTAGCTAAATATATGATCAATTTTGTATCTGAAAGACTTTATTTTCATACACTGGCCAGCACTTCTCCAGTTGCACGTATGACATACAGACACACGCCTAAGATTCAAACTTATCAGTGACTGGTTCTTCGAGGTTTTAAATTTTAAAAGCTTTAAAATATAGGGTTAAAGTGAAAATTTGTCCCAAAAATTTTCTCAAATTTTCACTTAAGAGTGCTAGGTATCCAAAAAATTTTTTGAACCCAATGTCGCTCCAGAAGTTTTCAAATCATATCAATATCTCCTTGACTATTATCTAGGTTAAGTTTGACTGTTTGTTAATAAAACATGCTTAGTTGAGAGTCCACATGTCATCTATGTCTTTTTTTTTTAGGGTTATAGTGCAAATTTGCCCTAAAAACTTTTAATTAGAAATACTGGTTATCTGGAAGTTTCTAAATTATAACAATGTTGCCCTAAGAGTTATCCATATTAGGTTTGACTATTAATTGACCAAATATGTTGAGTTGGTAAATTCACATGTGATCCACTTCATTTTTTTCTCTGGGGTGAAAATTTAACACTAACTCTGAGAGAAAATCATTGGTTCTATGCTTTTTAAGCCCGTAACGATTTTCAAAATCGACCTCATCGTTTATATCTTTAAAGAATTCCGGTGAGCTTTTTCTCTACAAATATTATTTACTATATTTTTTATGTTTACTTTTATTCTTACAAAAAGTACCAAACTAATAGCAAATGGCAAAATAACAAATGTGTAGAAAGAACTGGGATTATGAACCAAGAATGAAATGGATAACTTGAAAAAAAATAAAATAAAATTCGTCACATATAAACTTACCAACTCAGTATATTTTGTCAGCTAGTGGTCAAATCTACATGAAGAACAATCGGGACAGTATTACTATAATTTAGAAACTTCTGAATATCCACAACTCTAGAGTAAAAACTTTCAAAACAAATGTACAATTTAACCCAAAAAAGAAAATAACGTGGATAACACATAAATCTACCAACTCACCATAATTTGATCAGCTAATAATCAAACTTAAACTAGATAATGGCTAGGAAAACAATACTACAATTTGAAAACTTCTAGAATAATGTTGACCCTCAAATATACTATACACACACTTCCAAAAAACATACTACCTCCGGTTCTTAATACAAGATCTTGTTTAACTTTTATTTTTATTCTAAATATAAGATCTCAATTCACTTTGTCTCTAATATTTATGTATTTCTTTAAAAATAATCCTTCTAACAATAATAATTATAACCAATACACTTGATTAGTAAAAGTATTTTAGTAAAAACAACACCTATTTATTACAAATAACTAATTTAATTCTTTTTAGTCTTTTCAAATTAGTCAACTAGCTCTTATAATTAAGATAGGAGATAGTATATGCATTGAGCATCCATCATTGTAGCCATTAGAACTTGAGATAATTTTTGACGAATACTTTTGCCAATTTTGCACCCATTGCAGGCCGGAATCATGACCATCCTCGTCCTTTAAAAGGAACAATCATTCCTCCCCCCAGCCCCCAAAAGGCTAAAACTATATTTTCTAAATTTAGTCTCTCAACTTTAAAAATATAATCCTCAAATCATTAAAAAATGCACAAGTTTCATGTTTGGTTGTCAAAAAAATTTATCATTAAAAACTAATAATTTCAAGATTAAAAGACTAAAAATATACTTTTCAAACCAAAGACTAAGTTTAAAACTTGTTAGCTTTTCTTTTTAAAAAAAAATGGTATGGGATTTTCATTAGTAATCATTTCAACTTCAACCAAGTAGGAAAACTGATGAACCGGTGCCTCTTCCCCACTTAAGTACCAGTTTCCAGGAATTACAGGGGCCCTTGATCATTATGGTAATTAATCCTGATGTAGAGGACCCTCACCTGTATATTGCTACTTTTGTCAAATCAATAAAATAATCAATGATGCAGAAGTGGATCAAGAGACTCTGGGAAAAGCCACATCTCACATTCCTTGATGGAATTTACAATTCCCCAGGAACAAATTTACTTCTACACCAAAAATCTGTAAGCACACTAACCCAGTTGCCCCTTTCTCACTTTTCATCATTATTTGCGTGATTTCCTCAAGCAATACCTAAAACAAAAATTTGTGGGTGCACCTAATCGGTTGTCCAAGGATCATGCTCATTCTCGTGTCTCACTTCAGAAGGCTCAACCACTTCGGCCTCAAAAGATTCGTTTGTGTTTGCATCAGCTTCGACGGTCCCTGTCTCCTCATCTGATCTACCCCATCTTCCTCCCAAGGCCAGTGCCATCATTTCATAAATCTTGTTTCCCAACTCAGCTGGGCTGTCAGGCTGCGACATTAACAGAAATAATGTTACTATACCGCTGATGTACCAGCAGTGAAGGAAAAAATAAAAAATAAAAAGCTGCTAAATTGTCAGTACCGAAAATCCACTAGAGATCAATGCGGTCTCATATAAGAGCTCAACGGCTCTCTTAGCATCACTGCTGTCAGGTGCATTCTTGCAGGCAGCCTGGGAGGTCAAAGAGAGTATAAAATAGTCAATAAGACAGGTCAAAGCCACAAACAAATTCAGTAATAACTAAACAGCATTGCCTTTAAACGGTCTTACATTCAAGTCTTTGACAATGGGATGATCTGGATTAACCTCCAATATTCTCCTTCCCCTCATGAACTCCAAACTTGCAGTGTCTCCAAGAGCCTGCGCCTTCATTAATCTGTAGGAAAGGAAATGGTATGGTATGAGGATTACAATATAAAAGAACAAGATAAACTGCTTGAGATCGAGGAAAATGTCCTGGCTCAGAAAGCCACAGATGGAATAACCAACCTCTCCATATTTGCAGACCATCCAAACTTGCCAGATACAAGCACACAGGGAGACGAACTCAAGCGCTTAGAGACCTGAACTTTTGCCACCTTATCACCAAGCTGTTGTTTCATCCAATCACAAAGCAGATTGTATTCTTGCTTTGTTTCCCTCTCTTTCACCTCATCCTCATCACCTGTTCCAAAAATATTAGATGTGAAATACTATCCGAATATCTATTCACAAGGAGCGAAATGGTACTCTAGGTAGAAAATCACACATACCCAATTCTAGATCTTCCTTGCTAATATCAACAAATTTCTTTTCCTTGTATGTCTGTAGGTTCTGAATGGCAACCTCATCAATCGGGTCGATCAAATAAAGAACCTACAAGAGAGACCCCGCATATATTAAAGAGTAAACAAATTGAAAGGAGAAAAATAGAATATGAATCTAAAACTAATATCAAATACATTCAACCCTATACATTAAGCCTAGAATTTATGCATAATGTACCTCAATATCTTTCTGGACTAATTTCTCCAAGAATGGAGCAGTTTTGGCACTTTTCAAGCTGTCCGTTGCCAGGTAATAGATAGCCTTCTGGTTTTCACCCATGTTTTCCACATAATCATCTAAACTTTTGAGCTCCTCCTCACTTTTGGAAGTGTAAAACCTCAAAAGAGGTGTTATGCGCTTATGATTTCCAGTGTCTTCAACACATCCTAACTTGATGAATCTACCAAAGTTCTCCCAAAATTTCTTGTAGTCCTGTAATCACAAGCCGTCCCATCAATTGGAAAGGCTTCTCACTTCATATTGAAAATTAGATAATTGAGTTTATGCAACCAACCTCTTTATTTTCACTTTCAGCGATATCTTGAATCATGTCAAATGTCTTCCTAACAAGTCTTTTTCTCATTATTCTTACCTGCAATTATAATATATTGAAACAATATATTTTAGAAACAGATCGTTAAAGATAAACTACATAAATGATGTCTCAACAGTAGGGAAATCTTTCCTTCAGGTTCAAATCATGGAAAGTCTCTCTCATGTTTGAAGAAAAATAAAAAGAATTCTTACAATTCTGCTTTCTTGAAGGATTTCTCGGGAAACATTGAGAGGAAGGTCATCTGAATCTACCACACCTTTCACGAAACTCAAGTACCGTGGGAACTGCACAACAAATATTGAGATTGAAGATTTACTTTAGAATACCCTGGATGGATCAGAGGGGAGGGAAGCATTGAACAGCACTAACGTTACATATATGAGATAGTATACTAGTTTTGTGTGTGAAGATGGCATCTCATGACAGGCGAACTTCCATGACATACAACTAAAAGCATCTACACTTTTAGAGAAGCCATTGTTCCATAAAAATATAGCTGGTTGTTGGATAATTCGATCCCTACATTGCTGAGTAATATTCAAGCAATGACTAATCTCTTCCTAGCGCACTCTATCATAGTCATGTATTAGCAAACATGTTGCATTACTCTTTGGAGAGAAAAAAAATCAACATATAAGATTATTGTAAAGACATCAACGTCATCCAGTTCACAAGTTTAATTGATTGCAACCATTTAATAATCACAAGCATTTCCCAATTCAACAAAACTCGGACAATTAAAACCAGACGCACTAAGTACCATATTCCAGGACTAGAGGTTTTTTTCTTCAGATGTATGATCTACAGAGTAAAAGAATAACTCAGTAGGAATACTAAGAACGAAGAGCACGACTATAACAAGAACAGCTCAGGTCACCAGTGCTTCTAGAACCAGAGGCACTGAGCATGTCAATTTCAGAACTCAGTCCAATTAGGAATTTAATTCAGGGTTTCCCTTTTACAGTTACATTAGTTGGATGCAAATGAGGAGTTTGATGCTAATATGTAGCACGTTTGCTTCTAAAAGGGAGATATCAGGTACTTTCATTTTGCTTTGACAGTTTGGCCCAAAAAAATTGCTTTGAAAGAGAACTAAACGTTTTAAACTTCTTTGTCCAATCTTAGAGTGATCCGGGGTCTGCTTCTAAAAGCAAAATATCAGGTCTTTTCAATTTGCTTTCAAAGAGCATTAAATGATTGCAAATCTTTCTTATCCTCTGCTTTCTTGTCTCGCCAAACAGATCAGAGTAATTCAATATGTAAATCCACTCCGTTGTGGTGGAATAATAGGCATAGTAAATGGCTACAGATACCGCAAAAGTACCATACTACTAACTCGAAGAAAAGATGGAAGTCATATAACAGCAAATAACTGAAAGAAGCGTAATACATAAGAAATATCATAGCAGCAGAAGCAAAAATATCATAATATAGAAGATAGTATTCGTTCAAAGCCTATACAGTAAACTTACCAGCTCACCGTCAAAATCATCTGATATGAAGACACGCTTCACATACAGGCGTATATTCTTTGTTTTAGGATTTATTACTTCTTCATTGTTAAGAGGACCCATCCCAGGCACGTACAGAATGCTTCTAAACTCAACCTCACCCTGCAGGGATTACAAATCTTGTTAAATTACTTCCTAGAACTTGCTCTGTTTGCAGATAATCACAATCATCATCCTACCTCTGTGGTGAAGTGAGTATATGCAAGTGGTTCTACAAACTCATTGAAAGTCTTCTTGTAGAACTCCTGATATTCTTCCTTTTGAAGATCCTTTGAACTCCGCATCTGTAAACAGTGGCAAAAGATTATCAATAAGAGATGCACTGTAACTGGAGAAAAGGAAAACACGTCCTAAATATAGCGTGAACTCACCCATAGTGGCTTTGTTTCATTGGCCAATTCCCAGTCCCAATACTTCTCAGTTTTAGTCTTCTTTACCTTCTTTTTCTCACCCTGGTAGCAAGAGCAGCAACAGATTTGGTGATGCATAGAGAAGTATGCAGAATGCCTACATAAAAATTAAAAAAAAAAAAAATTGAACAATTACCTCTGGTTTAGGTTCTTCCCCTTCTTTTGATTCTTCCTCTTCTTCCACCTGTTATGTTCAAATTAATAAATTTTTTCCGAAGAAAAGATTATCAAATTGTCACTCATTCAAAACACATATTTCAGAAACCAAGTGTCTTTTCAATTGGAAAGAGATAACTTACAAAAAGGGAGAAATGATCACTCCCTTTCTTCGTAGGTGGAAACAAATTTCTAAAAGAAACATTCTTCTGTCACATTCACATATACTCCCTCCGGTTCAAAATATAAGCTAAACTTTATTCATTTATGTTTACCAAGAAACTATGTTAAAATTAGTTCAAAACAATAAATGAGTAAGGCATATAGTTTTTTTCCCAAATATACCCTTATTAATAAAGAGAATAAGTAAAAGAATGCAATAAATGAATCAAAAAGGAGAGAGAATATGTAGGGGTAAAATTGGAAAAAACTCATTAAATGCTTAGATAAAAGTGAATGTTATCTTATTAAAAAAACCAAGAGTCTCAAACCAAGTTTAGCTTATATTTTGAACCGGAGAGAGTACATTTCTCCAACATCAACCATCTCCAATTTCCTATTACCCTACACATTCAACATTAATCTAGCCTGATCCTCAGTGATCTCCTCAGGGACATCAGCACGTAGCACCAGTTTACATAGGGATCCCAAAAAACCGTGTAGACTTAAAAACAGGAAAAATCCAACCTCAGCCAATGGAAACTATGAAGAGTTCTGTTATAAGGAAATTATGCTCCCTGATAGCCTTCATTATAAAAGAAAATTACAATACTAGCTACAATATGGAGGCAAAATCTCAGGTTTCAATGATGTTTTACCATCAGCACTGCTGGAAACACTCCCAATATCCCAATAAGTACATCATTCATACTTTACTAAAGGACATGAAGCCCGTTGCTAAAAGGTGATATTCTTTCATTAGAATAGAACAAGGTATGTGATGTATGTTTTGCTTGCATATCATATGATGCTACTATCCGCACATATGCAGCAATTATACCAAGACCAGAAATGATAACAAAAACCTGTAACATGAGAAGGCACACTTACCTCCACAGTTCGTGAATTTTCTTGCCATGTATAGATGGGGAAGGAAACAAACTGAGAATAATTTTTAACCAAATTCTGAATCCTGGTTGGCTCTGAGAATTCATATTTGTCATCCGCCTGGACAAGAGAACAAGAATTTTGAAATAATCAGCGTTATAAACTACATTAAAATACTATCTTACAGGTTATTACTGCTACAACGTGTTCACTCATTCATTAGGGAATATATATAAATAACTACAACACCAAAACAATTTATGCTAAATTCATGATAAGCTACCTAGGATCCTCTGCTACATATTCTAATTCGATTCAACTTTACAACATATCAACAAGTTAGATGCCGCATACATTGGGATGCAAGATGCAAATTCTTCATTTACATAGACATCACACCCATCAAAATAATTAAAGGAGTGATACGTACTCTGAGATAGAGTGTAATTTGAGTGCCACGACGCAATAGCTTGTCTGGATCAGTTTCTTCCCTTATTGTGTAAGAGCTGCTATCAGCTACTGATTCCCACACATATTGCTTATCTGATCTTGGGCTCTTGGTGGATACAACAACCTGTTTATCATTAGAATGCAAGCATACTACATTAAAAGCATGAAACCAACATAGTTCAAACCACAGCCATCAATGAAGGCAAGAAAATGCAGTTGAGAAATTCATCGTACCCTCTCAGCAACAAGAAAAGCAGAGTAAAATCCAACGCCAAATTGACCAATCAAACCATTATCAGCTCCCAGATCCTTGTTTTCCTGAAAGATTAAGATGTGTGTGTGTTAGAACATGTTGATAAAAGCTTTGAAGCATCCAACTGATGGATATATCTGAATGGCTATAAAGTACCTTAAGTGCCTTCAAAAATTTCGAAGTACCACTCTGAGCTATTGTTCCAAGACAGTCAATAAGCTCATCTTTAGTCATTCCAATACCAGTATCTCTACAATGTCAAGCAGCAAAATTTTAAACGGATACGTATACATAATCAGAGAAAAGGTTCTACGAAATTGAGAGTCACATACGTTATAGTAATAATTCCATTGTCTGGATCTGGCTTGATGCGTATCTCTAACTCTCCAGCATCCCCAAGCAACGAAGGTTCCGTCACACTTAAGAATCTCAACTTGTCTAAGGCATCACTCGCATTGCTGGGGGAAAAATACAACCAAGTGGAGGTACCTCCGTAAGAATGAAACAGCACCAAATTACAGAAGTCCAAGAAGTAGGAAGTATATCGAGCAGAAACTATCTATTAATTAAAGCATCACTTCTCCATGAAAGCCAAAATATCAAGTTTTATACAACTATAGTGCAAGTTTGAACATAACATGGACGAGTACTCACCTCACAAGTTCTCGAAGAAAAACTTCTTTGTGGCTATACAGACTGTGAACGATCAAGTCCAGCAGGCGACTGACCTGCAGATGATCCCTTTTCCCTCAGTAAAGCGAAACTAAATATGCCTCACAATAAAATAACTCAAGTTGGGTGTCAGTCAAAAAATTGCATTCCAGAAACATTCTCTGACTTTTAGTATGCCTCAAGGAAATTAAGGAAGATTATGAATCATTTGATATTTTGATACAAAACCAAGAATTCATTTCCCTGTAATCCACCTATGATAATAAAATAATAACAATTAAAAGAAACCCACCTCGGCTTGGTATTCGAACTTCTCACCAGGAGCATCGGTGGCCTCCTCTTTCTCAGCGACGGCAGCGTCACACCGAACAACCATCTCATTATTTCTTCTCTCGAGCTTCCACTTCAAACCAGCACAATATAAGCCATTTCTACCAAAACTAGTTGGAGGTAAGAAAGCACTACTGAGAGTCAAATCCCTCCGATGGTTTCTATGTGTAAAGGGCGATGAAGTGGGGAGTGATGCAAGAGAGGCAGTAGCCAAGCTTCTGCTCAGTACCGGAGCCATTCTTGCCAGAGAGAGTTGCAGAGAGCTGAAGAAGTTATCACTTATCTTCTAAACCTAATCTTTCTATTATAGTGCATCCGAAATGTGGAAAAACCCTCGATGGGTTTTAGGAGATGAAAGATGATTCTAGAACACAGCAAGCCGTATGGAGGAACCCGGCTCCGTTTGGCGCTACGTGCGTGGAACTGTGAGGCTTAGATTCCGCCATTTCAGCCTTCACGATATCCATTTCATTTTCCGCATATTTTTGTTTTCCAACCGGAGAAAAAGAGCAGGAAATAATTAATTAAAAATCAAAGCACTACTTGAAGTTTGTAAAATATAATTTTTTATAAATAAAAATATATCAACTATTTATAGTAAATTTATTATTCATACTCTTTATTTTTAATTCTATAAAAAGTTACAGAGAAAAATTAGATTATGTTGTTGGCCTGTTAATAAAGTGTGTCCGAAAAAAGTATCAATAAATTTTAAATTTTAGAGAAGGTACAACTTTGGTCGTTAAATTTTTTTAGGTTAAAGTGTAAATTTGTAAGTAAACGTTAGATATTTGAAAGTTTTATTGGCAACTAATTTACTTTAAGAGTTTAAAATCATAACAATATTACCCTTTATTATTACTGTTATTTTAAACTTTCAAAATAAATTTTTTTAGGTTAAAGTATAAATTTGTCCAATAAAATTTTACTCAAAAACGTCAGGTATTTGAAAGTTTTCTTGGCAACTAATTTGTCCTAAGAATTTAAAATCGTAACAATATTGCTCTCTATTATTACTGTTATTTTAAAATTTTAAGATAAATTTGATCTCAAAAAAAATTTCGGGTGCCAAGGGCTTTTGAATAAAAACTTATGCGATAAATATGCCTTAAATCCAAATTTTTTATTTTTTTTTATTTAATCAGAATTTCTAACTCAATACAAATCAATTTATATAATTCATTAACTTAACAAACTATAGAGATTGAGTAATATTTGAAGTTTAGAAATTAAATTAATAATTGAGAAGAATTTATTGAATTTTCAGTTTAGAAGCTAAATTAATAATTGAGACTGAGTAGTAGTCAGAGACTCAGAGCTGACAGACCCCAAAAAAAATTTTAAAAAAAAAAAACATTTATGAAGGTATTTATGGGTTACCCATAAAATCGTCGTTGAGAAGAACTTATTAACCATCACCAATTTTCTTTACATGACATCAGCATGGAGTCTAACAATTTATTTAAAATTTCAGTTTCATATCAAATTTCAAAACTGTCCACAACGTCTATTATGTTTCCAGATCGATGGCAGCATCCTTGTGGAAAAACGGTTCCATTTTTGAAGTATCGATCAATTAGTGGCAATCAATCAAAACAATGATCAAGAAATACCAGTAAATGTCACTGATGCAACGTCAATATCCAATAACAGAATTATGATTTATAGCCTTTTCAAAGAAAAGAAAAAAAATATAAACAGGAAAAAAAAAACTAAGTGAGCTTAAACAAAATTACATTTTATTATAATTCTCTTTAGATGGTAACAAGCCATGCAGCTACATTAGACTCCAGTCAATTCAAATTTGAGTTCGGTTGAGCTCAAATGAAGATAAATCTTTTATGCATTCATACACTTTCAAACTCAAACTTTACCTTATTTGGGAGAACCAACTCTCCTTGGTTTATTTTCCTTTTCTTTTTATCTATTTAATACTCCTCCGGTCCTTATTATAAGACCCCATTTGACTTTTTATTTGGTCCTAATTATAAGACCCTAATCCATTTTGTCTATTATATTTATGTATTTTTTCCAAGATAATCCTTCTAATAATGATAGTTTTAGCCAATATACTTAATTAGCAAGGATATTTTAGGAATGACAACACTTATTTATTATAAATAACCAACTTAACTTACTTCCTTAATCTTCTCAAATAAGTCAATTGGGTCTTATAATTAGGACCGGAGGAGTACATTTTAAACAAACAAATGCATGCATACAAATATATTAACTCTGAGCTCAACTGGGACCTCATCCAAGCATAACAGGTGACGTTACTACTGAGACAACTAGCCGTTAACCATTCTCTTATATTTTAACACATGATAGCATAAATGTTTGACATTAAAACACATTTGTTTGATGTGTAAAGAACTTCCACGCCATGTTCATGTTTTTTTATTACCTGCAGACAAGACATTCTTATTTGAGCAAGAAACAAATGCGAAACATGAGAGTTGAACATATAAATGTTATGAAGCTAGACACATCCATTCTCTGACAGCCCAACAACATCTCTGCCTAATGATCAAATGAGGAATTTGATAACAAATTTACATCCCAATTACAAAAGGTTGGATCCTTCAGGCCTCAGAAACAGCAGTTGGCTTCAAACAGTCAACATTAGTACACATCCCAACCGATCTCACCATGTCTCCTAACCTGCAGGCACACAAAAATCACACAACAATCATTGAAGTAAGTGTATACAGAAAGTTCAAGTCATCAGTCTTATGGGGAAAAAATGATTGAAATCTGAGGATGGATGAAGTTTGAACAGACCTCTCAAAGCTGTTTCTTGCTTTCTCTATCTGATCTGTGCTGTTCCTTGATTTCCCCAAGCGGTCAATGCTCCTTCTTGATTTCTCTCGCCGGTCGGTACTAGTTCGTGACTTCTCTGTACTTAGCCTAGACTTTTCTCTCTGTCCTGTGCTAGTCCTAGGTTTCTCTCTATGGTCAGTGCTTGATCTGGCCCTGTCCTTGTTATCTAAGGAACTTGAAGAAGGATTCGACGGGTCTGTTTTGTCTCCATCAGCACTTTGCACGCGTGGCATTTTCTCTACAGCTGATATAAATTTCTTAAGATGGCTCAAGTACTCAGGGTAGAGTTCTAGGTTGCAATGATTTCCTCCTTGAAGCCATAAAGGTTCGAACTTCTCGTTACTGAGTTCCCAGAGCTGCTTTCCATGGGAGCAATCAACAACCTCGTCTTCTGTTCCCTGCCAAAATATTCCCAAGGGACTTCAATCAGCTTACGTTGTCAAAGTATCTGACTGACAATCAAAGAAGGTCATCACTTATGAATAAACAGCTATGAAGGATGAGAGTTTTACTCACATGCATTACCAGAACTGGGCACTTAACCAGTGGGATTTTGTCAATATTCTGCGAGAGAAGGTAAGCCAGTTAGAATTTCAATGAAATGAGCAAATGCCCAAAAATGAATTATATGGAAGCTAGAGGAAGAAACCTTGTAAATGTCAAACCAGAATGTTTTCTTAACAGGATACATGACACGAAGACCAGACAATATTGGACTGTGAAGAACGACAGCTCTCAAACGAGACAAACGAGTAGCCAGTTCCAGAGCAGGCCCACTTCCTACTGACTGACCATACAGTATAGTGTCCTCCTCTTTCACTCCATATTTCTCCCCAAGGCACCTGTAAGCAGCTTCTATGTCTGCATAAGTGTCCTGCTCACTAGGCTATAATAACAACGACACGTTGGAACTAATTAGTAACATCCTCTTCAAATACCAGGTACCATAATTCTGTACTGAAATGTGCATGTGAAACTTTGTGGTAGTGGCTTGAAGCAGCCAAAAAGGACTCATCAGTATTTTGAACTGAAATGCATTACTGAATCACCAACAATAATTTCAGTGCGTTGTTGGAATAATTATATTATGCTCCAAAGTCAACTTTTCTTTTAGCAGAAAAGAAGAAAAAAAGGCGAAGTAGGGTGCATTTTAAATGCATATGCACATCGCTTTCAACTTTATTAGTTAATTGCTTTTGAGTTTGACAGCTCCAGAGTGCCTAATTAGCTGGTTGCATTTGCAATATGCAATTAGGTGGTGTGGATTAATAAGCTAAGACAGTTTAAGCAGCGACATGACACTGTCTTGCAACAATTATTGTCACATTTTTAAGCTAACTCTGTCGGCCCAAGTCACTTTTTCCGGATTTTGCGGAAAAGAGAAGAGAAATATAATCGATGACCTTCATAAAACTAAATGAATCAAATATATCAATAAGATACAATCTATAACAAGTTTTATTATGCACAAGTCATGAACAGTATAACTTATTTATCGTGCCGTGTGATACAATAGAAATATATAACTTATTCATCATGCAGTGTGATACAATAGAAATAAGTCTAATTTTAAAATGCATATTTGTTGTGCTTCCAACTACTTATATCTCAAAACATGTGATCACCTTAATCAGATTGTCCCAATTGCAATAAAAACAAATAGTTAGTGCTTCTTCACCAACTAAATATATTTAATTAATATTATATGTGGTCATAGGGCTCTAGGCTCAAAAAAGTGAGATCAAATTATGCTCTCTTTTTGACTTTCTGCGTATTCATACAATCACACGTGCTTCAGCATGTTGGGGACTTGGGGTTGCTGAGCTTGATTAAATTGACACTCTCTGTAGAAAAGCAATAAGAATAAAAAGGTATTTCGTAGTGACAACAAATAGAAGGCACGCCACATACCTTTCCAGAAGATTGTCCATAACCAGAATAATCGTACCTGCATATCGGAAAATGTCAATCTGATTTGAACCTGAAACAACATGTTCATTTTCTGAAAACAATGTAAACAAAGGTCTCCGACAAAACCATCATCCTTTTTGGCTGTAAGGAGTCTTCAAAGCATAAAGAGATACCATTTCAGTTGATATTTCGTTACATGCCATTTAAAGATTATAGGATCCTAAATATACTTCTAGATTTCTTCCTTCTTAATGCATATGAAATATCAATGGCAGAACGAAAACCTCTGATATGATACCAATTTATGAGATAATATTCAAAACAGTAAGAAACGTGTCATAAGAGTTTTATCAAACAAGGAAGCAAGTTCATGAAAGAAAAGATCACAGACCCCATAAGATTGACACCAAGATGAATACTAAGCTCTGTGAAAATATGAAACATCTGGCCAAGATCAGCAGCATTGCCATGAGAGTAAAGCAGAGTTAAAGAAGCCGATGGGTTCTTCACAAACATGGCAACAATCTCATTCCCTCTCTTGGTGGCCAGTTTCATCACGTCCACGTC